GTAAAAAAGTTAGGAAGTATATTCTGGAATCTTTTAATATTTGAATTTTTTTAAAAAACCAATTTAATGATATAAGAGTAATATCCAGTAATAGCAGTTACTCTGTGCCTGGTACTATTTTGAACACTGTTGTATTTATTGACTCATTTTATCCCTACAGCAGTTTTCTGCAATGGGCATTAATATTATCCCCATTCATTTTACAGTTGATGAATTTTTTTTTAAATATATATTTTATTGATTTTCTACAGAGAGGAGGGAGAGGAATAGAGAGCTAGAAACATCGATGAGAGAGAAACATCGATCAGCTGCCTCCTGCACAACCCCCACTGGGGATGTGCCCGCAACCAAGGCACACGCCCCCGACCGGAATCAAACCCGGGACCCTTCAGTCCGCAGGCCGACGCTCTATCCACTGAGCCAAACCAGTTAGGGCTACAGTTGATGAATTTTACAGTTGATGTAATGAATCCAGATGGAAAAACCTGCTTTGGGAAGGGAATCTTAGCATATTCACCTTAAGCATATTCACAGTAGCCTATCTAATTAAGTTTGGTAGATACGAAGGATCCAAGCAGGAGCCTATTAGCTAGATTCCCCTAAATCCCATTGTTTCTGGGTTGCCTAGCAGGAACTTGGCCATGAGTGTGTTTTACTCTTTCTGTGCTACCTGTGAATTGCCTATCTCCTCTTCAAAATCCCAGACCCATGCCCCCTTTTCTCCTTTGTCCATATAGTATGTAAGTCTCTACAGCCCAGTGTGTTTTGGAAATCATTATTATGACACCCCTGATATACGTAATAATAAACCTTGGACTTTTTCTCCTCTTAATCTGTTCCTGTTAAATTTTATTACTAGCTTATAAGCTTTATAAGCTAGAACTTAGGTGGGAGGAAAATTACTTTTTTAGCTTAGCCCCCACAATGTGGATAACCTAATATGCTAGCAAAGGCTGTTGCAAAAAAGAATCCCTTTTCAGTTGATGTCTTCATAACTCATGGCTAAGTCAGGCACTTCCAGTGCAAAGTATTTGTATTTCTAAGGGCTTTGTTCATAGCTGACCTGTAATTCTACAATTCAGTATATCTTTCTCTTTCCTCCTCCACTCCTGCCCCCCTGTCCTCTGCTATCTTCCCCTCCACTCCCTTTTGCTTCCAATTTCTCACTTCTCTCTCTCCTTCCTTTATGAGGATAGTGCCTGCCAAAATTGGGAGTAGTTGGTGAGTAATCCAGTGACTCATGGTTTCAGGTGTTAAAACTATCTTCCTACTGAGCTGTGGGTTAGTTTTCTTTGGAAGGTGAGGACTGGATTCTGTCAGCTGAGCTTTTGTAGGGGAGCCATGCACTGGAAGGAAGCCCAGGTAGGAAAGAAGTCAGATTAAAGCCTGGTTTATTTCTTTAGTTACTGTGTAGAGAAAACAACTCACATCTAACTGATCATTTGTAAATAATTATATTAAAAGTTTGTTGGGCTCAGTGGATAGAGCGTCGGCCTGCGGACTGAAGGGTCCCGGGTTCGATCCCGGTCAAGGGCATGTACCTTGGTTGCGGGCACATCCCCAGTGGGGAGTGTGCAGGAGGCAGCTGGTCGATGTTTCTAACTCTCTATCTCTCTCCTTTCCTCTCTGTAAAAACTCAATAAAATATATTTTAAAAATAAATAAATAAATAAATGTTTGTTGGGTTTTTTTGTTGTTTCGTTGTGTGTGTTTTTTCCAGTTCTAAGGATTCTAGTCTCAAAGCCATCTTTTCACCAGTATAGTCAATTTTTATCCTACCAGAGTAATAGTTAAACTTGATTTCCATATCTGTATTTCCTTAGATAACTGATTACATCTAAGTTAATATTCAAATTAATAACAACAACCTAAGAAAACTAAACCATGCCTACGCTGGTAGTCTTAGATCAAATTATATTTCGTATTTGCTTCCCTTTTATATTGTGGTGGATTTTGAGCTATTAAACATAAACATAAGGGTCATATTGTTATCTTTTATCAGTGGAAGTGGGGTTCTTGGGGTACCATTGGAGTAAACATTTCCAGAGGCCCTCACAAGAGGGTGAGGTATGATAGAAAGCTTTATTTCCTTGGAATTATACCCCTTGGTTTCCAAAGTCCCATTTCTCTTAGTTCAGCCATAGAAGTATAGCTGGGGTTTCAGTAAAGCTAGAATCAAAGCCAGCATCTAGAGTTTCCTTTCCATGTTGGATCCAGGCTAGCTGTAGTCCATTAGTCCATTGTGTATGGGGTCCACATGGCCGTGGACCATGTGGGGGAATGCAGAGGAGCAGGAACAAAAGAGCCCCATAAGCCCAGAGTCACACAAGTCCCAAGGAGCCAAGAGCACAAGAGAGCACGTTTCTTTGTTCAGGGAATTGAGTATCCAAATTTTGCTTGCAGTTGCCACCCCTATTCTGGCCAACCATCTCTGTCCCCAGATGTGATTGACAGTCAAATATCTTCTCTATGTCATCCCAACTTTACTGGGCATGCGACTATCTTCCTTTTGGCCAATCCCCTCCCCCCAGTGTTTTATGGGGAACATACCTATAATACCTGGCCTTCTCTTTGCTCCTTTCCTATTCTATATAATAAAAGGCTAATATGCAAATCGACCAAACGGCAGAACAACTGGTCACTATGATGCACACTGACCACCAGGGGCCAGACGCTCAACACAGGTACTGCCCCCTGGTGGTCAGTGTGCTCCCACAGGGGGAGCACCACTCAGCCAGAAGACGGGCTCACGGCTCTGCGGCAGCGCTAAGGACCCCTTGGGGGATGTCTGCTGAGGGGTCCTGGACAGGGAAAGGGCGCAGGCTGTGCTGAGGGGACTCCCACCGCCCCAGTGCACTGGGCCTCTAGTTATTAATAACTAGTTAATTACAATGATATCAATATTACATACTGTAATTATGGCTTCTGAAACCCCATTCAGAAAGAAAAATCACACAGTGGGAACCCTGTACAACCTAAGAGAGTGAACCTAAGGCACTGAAGAGTTGGAACTCTTGGCAACTTGACTATCTGGAACTTTCACTCATCCTCCCTTCTGCTGCCTTCCTCTGGTCTTTTCACTGCTAGTTAGCATGTACTTAAAAGATGAATAGGGCAGATGGAGGAAGCGATACAAAACAGTTATTGTAAAAAAAAAAAGAAGAAATAAAAAGGAAAAACAAAATAGTTATTGTACTAGTCCCTAACTGTTCTGTATGCTGTGTTTTTTTGTTTGTTTTGTTTTTATTAGTGGAGTATATAATGTCATTTTATTATTCATTTTGATTTTAAATTATATTTTGATTTTATTTAAAGGCACAATATTTCTTTTGTGTTCATCTAGAAAGAAAATAATATTCTTTTATTCACATCGATAGTAATATATTGAACTCATTCATGAACTCAGTGTGTTTTAGAGTTAGAGATCAGCATAAATTCTGTTCAGACGGCAAACTGAGGAGATACAACCAAAATGAAAAAAAGAGAATGCATGTCTGGACTGGCAAGTTCATTATTAGCATATTATGAACATTTCAGAATTGGTATATTATTGTCATCACAAAAATGTAATTCAACCTTTTTTTTTTTTAAATATATTTTATTGATTTTTTACAGAGAGGAAGGGAGAGAGATAGAGAGTTAGAAACATCGATGAGAGAGAAACATCGATCAGCCGCCCCCCCACATCCCCCACTGGGGATATGCCCGCAACCAAGGCACACGCCCCTGACTGGAATCGAACCCGGGACCCTTCAGTCCGCAGGCCGACGCTCCATCCACTGAGCCAAGCCGGTCTCGGCCAACCTTTTTTTTAATATGAGAGTAACCTATATACAGTTCTTTCTGGCAAATTGTTGATGATGACAAATTAGGGATGGGAAGCAAGGAAAAGGGTGTGCTCTTAAGTCTCTGAGATGGTAAATTTGTAATTTGACGTGCTTATTGGGAATTTTTATTACCTAGAGTGGTTATTTAATTATGTATTTCTGTTATTGTTCAATAGAGAAGAGTTTCTAAAACCTTTCTGCATAGGCCCTACTCTAATTCACCATTACAAGCCATATCAATTGGCACCTTCTTAAAAGACTTTTTTCTCTTGAGTTAGATAAACTAACCTATCCCCTGCTTTGACTAAGAGTTTTGAAGTATGATAGTTTAAGTTTTCATATCTAAGCAGCATGCCTTTTTCTTCAGCTCTTTTTAATGGTTGCTTACCTATATGAAAGGATAGTCATTGTGTGTGTTTTGGAGTCTCTTGCCTAATAAAAATTGTTTCCTGGTTAGAACTCATAGAATGTGACCTCTAAAAGGTCTGAACTTAGTCATTGACTTTATAAATTACTTACCTTACTGTTTCTGTCTCTAATGTTCACATAATGTTGCCCAAGTTTATCACAGTTGCTTGTGTTTTGGAATTTTAACTCTCAAGAGTGTACACATTCATTCTTACCACTTTCAGCAGTACCTTCTCAATCTTACCTACACCTGTCTCCAGCTACCAATAAGTGTCCCTATTAGAATGGAAAGAATGATTCCATTGCCCATGACATGATTTAGACCCAAAAATCATGGGTCCACTGTGATAAAAATTAGATTTTTATATCTAGCCAGTAAAATACTTGTTCTCACCAACGTTTTCAGATGACCGTAATCTTAGAACATGGGTTGGAATTACAGTGATGTCTGAATACTAAAATGATTTTTATATAATTAAATTGAACTGCAGATGTACCTTGTTTTACATAGATATGCTTTTAAACAAAAGTATGTGTGAAGAATATAAATTAATTTATGCTTTAAACCCACTAAGGAGCTTTGCTATTTCAAGATAAACCATACTAAATCCTCTAACAAAGGAAAAATACCCCAGTTTACATTTTGTGTAAATCCTCATATATCTGTCTTGCTTAAAGCAAAGTATAATTAATTGGCCTATTGATTCTGGAAAAGTAGTCTTCTTTTGGGGTCTTTTTAACATCTATCTTTTGCTTTGATGCTAGATCGAGCGGTTGGAAGTAAGCAGCCTCGCCCAGACTTCCAGTGCAGTGGCCTCCAGCACTGATGGCAGCATCCACACAGACTCGGTGGATGGAACACCAGACCCTCAGCGTACAAAGGCTGCTATTGCTCACCTGCAGCAGAAGATCCTGAAGCTCACAGAACAAATCAAGATTGCGCAAACAGCCCGGGATGACAACGTTGCTGAGTACTTGAAGCTTGCCAACAGCGCAGATAAGCAGCAGGCTGCCCGCATCAAGCAGGTCTTTGAGAAGAAGAACCAGAAATCTGCCCAAACCATCCTCCAGCTACAAAAGAAGCTTGAGCACTACCACAGGAAGCTCCGAGAAGTGGAACAGAATGGGATCCCCCGGCAGCCAAAGGATGTCTTCAGGGACATGCACCAGGGTTTGAAAGATGTGGGAGCGAAGGTGACTGGCTTCAGTGAAGGTGTGGTAGACAGTGTCAAAGGTGGACTTTCCAGCTTCTCCCAGGCAACTCATTCAGCAGCAGGGGCAGTAGTCTCAAAGCCCAGAGAGATTGCTTCATTAATTCGGAATAAATTTGGCAGTGCAGACAACATCCCTAACCTGAAGGACTCTTTAGAAGAAGGGCAGGTAGATGATGGGAAGGCTTTGGGAGTGATTTCAAACTTTCAGTCGAGCCCAAAATATGGTAGTGAAGAAGATTGTTCTAGTGCCACTTCAGGCTCAGTAGGAGCCAACAGCACCACTGGAGGCATCGCTATAGGAGCATCTAGCTCCAAAACAAACACTCTGGACATGCAGAGCTCAGGATTTGATGCACTATTCCATGAGATCCAGGAGATCCGGGAAACCCAGGCCAGGCTAGAGGAATCCTTTGAGACCCTCAAGGAACATTATCAGAGGGACTATTCATTAATAATGCAGGCCTTGCAGGAAGAGCGATATAGGTAAGTTATATGGAATTACAATCCGAAATTACTTATGTTTGGGGTTCCCTTTGCTTTGGCTGTTGTGGGCGGGGACTGGCTTTTAAAGATCTTTAGTAGAGTCTTTTTCTGGAATGTCCAGAGCACTTTAGATATGTAATATGATGTCTGCATGAGTTCCTATCATAGAATGCAAATGACAGGCATGACAAAATTAAGTAACTCCCAAGGTTACACACCAGTGAAGCATTGTAGTTGAGAGGTGATGATTACTGTAGCTCTCCAGTCTTCCATTCTAGGTTAAGACTTTCAAATGAAGCCCAAGGTTTCTGAGGCATTTCACCTATTTGTAATTACAGAATCACAAGTCATTGCAGCCTGTATGTATACTACATTAAATTCAAAAGATTTGTTATAACCCCCAACTCTGTATAAATCAAAGACATAGCCTATCCAAAATGTAATGAATCTGTAGTTATTGGGCTTTAAGCACATTTATCTAGGCAGTTGGTGTAGAAAGATTAGACTGGAAATAAATCCAGATAAGCATGTCTGTTACCTTTACTATGCATTGGCAAACATTTGAATGGGAGTGAACTTTCAACATGTGAAATGGTTCTGCAATAGTTAGAGAATTCTCAAAGGGGTAAATGCTTTTAGTTGTAATCTGTGCTGAAGGTAGAAGCTAATAGCTTTTTTGTTTCATATTACACTGTATATTCATATTAGACCATTCTTAGTTATCTTCAAATGTGTGTCTTTTCCTCTTGTTTCCATCACATGCAGATAGAAAATAATGTCCACCATGTAGTACTTAATCAGATCCAAACTTTGTCAACCAGAGACAAACCACCTCATTGATACAGATTAAGGGCTAATCTCATGGGAGCCACAGGTTGGGTTAGGCCTTGAAAGATGTGAGTTCTGGTTTTGTTCCAGTTTCTAATGAGAGGGAATCCTCAGTAATTTTACTATATCAAGGGTTGAACAGGCAATCTTTTAAGGTCCCCTTCCTTTTTTTTTAAGTGATTTTTTTAAAGTTTGTTTTTATGAGATAATCTCAGGGCCTGAATAAATTATTCATGTGAATCAATAAGATGAGTGAAGAGTTGCAGCAGCAAACTCTTTCACATGGTGAAAATGCTAATCAGTAATTCAGTCCTGTCTGTTATCTTCACTCTTCCATCCTTTAATTCAAACTTAAGACTGTGAGAAAAGGAAAGAGAAGAGAAGAGAAGAGAAGAGAAGAGAAGAGAAGAGAAGAGAAGAGAAGAGAAGAGAAGAGAAAGGAAGTTCTAAAAGCAAAAACATTACCATTCTTAATTTGTTGTTTTATATAGTCTTTAATATACTTAGAAGACAATATCTAAAGTGGTGAGCAATCTAACAGATATTCAAGTAGACTCAAAATAAAGCACCTGGTCCTTTGTACTATATTATATTTAAGTCTTACATTCAAATTCTTGTTCTGCCACTTACTAATCTTGAAAATTGGGCAAGTTTCTTAACGTTCCTAAGTTCTGGTTTCCACATCTCTAACACAGAAAAAATAATAGTCGTTCATACGGTTACTGTGACATTTAAATGAAATAATTTATGTAAAGCACATAGCTTGGTGCCTGGCCCAGTAAGTACTTTGTTGATGTTAAGTAGCAGCTGCTACTGCTGCTTTTAAAATATGCCCCTTTGAGCCATGGAGACCTGGGTGTTCCAAGTTTCTCAAAAAACCAACTGCCTGCTTTGACCCTTTTATTTTAAATGGATAGCAAAACATTCCAGTTTTTAAATTCTTCCAGAGTTTAAAAATTCATATAGAGTTGTTATGTCTTCAAATCAGATGTAGGCCAATGTGAGAAAGTCAGAGAGGAAAAACAGGTCTCCTAAGATCCACCTTTGTATCCATTTAAAATAATTCAGAGACAGGATAGAACTTTAGCTCCATCCCCAGTCTACTTCCTTCCTAGACAAAAGCCTCCAGGAGAGTAGAAATAGAAATTAGAAAAGAGAGACTCCTGCAGCCTTGTCTTTTTGTCTGGGGAGGAAGTAGCCTAGGGAAGAACTCAAGGAATACTTTTCTAACCAAGAACCATTAATGTGTACATGGCTGCTCTAGATGCATTTCTTGTTATTTTCAATGCTTTCGTTTATTTTACTAACTAGAGGCCCAGTGCATAAAACTCATGGACTCAGGTGTCCTTCAGCCCAGCCTGCGCACTCTTGCAGTCTGGGAGCACTTGGGGGATGTCCGACTGACAGTTTAGGACGCTCCCCTAAGCCGTCTTGAACATTCTTAGCTCTACCTCGGAGGGAGGCAGGAGAGGCTCCCACCACCGCAGCTGCACTCGCCAGCTGTGAGCCTGACTTCTGGCTGAGTGGCGCTCCCCCTGCCGGAGCACACTAACCACCAGAGGGCAGCTCCTGTGTAGAGCATCTGCCCTCTGGTGGTCAGTGCAAGTCATAGCAACCAGTCATTCTGCCGTTCAGCCAATTTGCATATTAGCCTTTTATTATATAGGACTAGAGGCCCAATGCATGAAATTCACGTGAGAGTAGGCCTTCCTTCCCCTGGCTGCTGGCACCGGCTTCCCTCTGGCCACCGGTGGGCACCTGGGACCTGGGCTTCCCTTGCATCCCCGGCTACATCCCGAAGGATGTCCGTCTAATTAGCATATTCCACTTTTATTATTATAGATTATCATAGTTGACAGGAGGACAGTCATACACAGAATTGCTGCTTGTTATTTTAAGTGATAGGGGAGGAGCACACTATCACTAACAGCATTTGCTAAGCTCCTGTGATTCGAATAATGCTAGGTGCTTTACATATATTTGCTAATCCTCACAATAACCCTGCAAGTGGATTGTATTATCCTTATTTTACAGATAAGGAAATTGGCCCCAGTGGGGTTTTAAAATTTGCCAAAGGTAGGTCACTTGGTAAGTGGTAAAGCCAGGAATCAAACCCAGTTTTATCTGATTCCAAAGCCAGTGTTTTTTTCATATCAGGCCAGTTGTTTTGTTTTCCAAGCTTAAACCTAAAACCTCTATGATTGAAAGACTACTTTTATAGTCTAGCTAACCTGGACTTCATTGGCAATGGGTATTAGACCTTTTCCAGGTTTCACTAAAAGTCGAGTCACTATTTTTAACATATTTTGGAAAATTCTGTAAATGCATAAGCTCTGGAAAGTTTTCTCAAGCTAAATACAACAGTGTAAGCCGAAACCGGTTTGGCTCAGTGGATAGAGCGTCGGCCTGCAGACTGAAGGGTCCCGGGTTCGATTCCGGTCAGGGGCATGTACCTGGGTGGCGGGCACGTCCCCGGTGGGAAAAATAAAATAAAATAAAATAAATACAACAGTGTAGATATGTACTAGAGGAATATATAAACTTTATATAATATATATATATTATAAAGCAACCCTCATCCCCGTCTTTATTTCCCCTTTTCAGGGTTCCTTCTCAATAATGTTACTTAATGTGCTTCCCATTGCTCTCTACCTCAGTGACAGTGCCAAGTCAGGATTCTTGCTCAAGGTCATCTACTTACTCGGGAAAAATCAGAAGCATTAAGGATCCTGTAGAGTACAGTCAGTTTCTTCCTCTCTCTCTCTCTCTCTCTCTCTCTCTCTCTCTCTCCATGTAATTGTGCCATGACTGAATAGTACTTTAGCCACCCACATGCACTTAGTCCTGGAAGCCATTGTAGCAGAGCTTGGATCTAAACTCCACCCCAACTTTTGACTAGTAGTTTAGAATTTGAGCTTTGCATTGGGCACTCAGGTATGAGTGAGATTATTTTTGGAAAGGTAGGAGACAAGGTTTAGACAGGTTTTTAGTGATGGGGTCTGTACTGACTTCATATTCTTCTTGTCTTGCTAGTAGTCTTTTCATCCCATTTAAGTATTATTGTAGATCTGTTAGTAGCAATAGAGTATTCACTTAGTACTTCAGAGATAAAAGGAGCCCTTAGATATCTAGTTTAATCTTGCTCTACAAATGAGTACAGTGAGACCTAGAAAGATAAAGTGACTTTTGCCAGGTCACACAGTAAAATGGTTTAACTTATATTTAATTTGCTGTTTAAAAACTGGAGAACCAGTCCTATTTTCATAGTGAGTATAATATATTAATGAGTTACTATAGGAAAAAATTCAGCTGTGGCAAAATGCGTTGTAAACAGGAGAGAACTAGGAAAACAACTTATAGACAGTTTTACAGGTTCCTTTTGTAGTTTTTTCCCTAGGGGATCTGGCCCAGAATCCTACCCATCTACTGCCTGTTTAAAGCAATATCATGTAGGGCAGGGATGTTGATGAAAGCTTCTATTTTAAGGGGATTATTGTGCTTTAGAAATTGGCTTCTGAAATTATATTAAGCCCAGAATATTTTAAATTGCACTGAGTCATAAGAGCAAAAATACAGAAGGAAGCAGTCACCATTAGCAGTCATCACTTGCAGTAGAACAGTCAGTAACTAGGCTAACCCAATTAGGTACAGGCCATTGAAGTTCTAACTAAACAAATTGTTATTTATATATAATTTTACTTAAAGTAATTATCACTGGACATAAGACAGATATAGCTATGTTAGCCCCTTTATTCCAAGTTTTAGCCCTGTTTGTCATCTAGCAAATTGATCAGAGAATCTCCAGAAGATATGTAGACTAGGTTTGGCCAACAAATTTGAAATAGAAACTGAGAATATTGGATCAAATTAGCTCTTTGTTTCTAAGAGAAAAAAGCCCAATTAGGAGATGCTCTTAGGAAGGATAAGACCTTTCATAAAAGAAGTTTACAGATGAGCTCCTCCCAGTTTAGCCACTAAAACAGTAATGGAGGAAAAATGGGGAGGAAGGTTAGAGTAGGGAAGAAAGGGAGAGGAGATAAATTACTTCATTAATAAATTAAGGTTGGAGGAAGACCTTATGTAACTCATTTAAGCCTCAGTTTCCTCTATAAAAACAAGATGATGATATCTATTGTACATGTTGTTGAGATTATTAAATGAGGTATGGTCTG